GAGTGCGTGTGATGTACTCGTCACTGACATTCCCCATTTCAGAAATTATAAGAGGAATAGGTACAAGCTTTCGGCGCAAAGATTTCTGGGATCCTTTGGGTGGCCAATCGTTAGTTATGATTGGTTAATTGTTGTCTCGAATACTATCGACCAACTCGACCAAACATAACAAACGCTTGTCAACCCAAACGATTTACTATTCTCCTAGAGCTTCTGGAATGGGGAATTGAAGTAGTTTGCACTTTTATTGAAAGCAGCCTATGTACAGTTTTAACAATTTTTTTGCGGAATTTATTTTTTAATATATATATATATTTTTAACCCACATAGGTAGACTTTGTCTTTTGCTTGTTACAAGTTGGAATAGCGTTGTTAAGTGAGAGATGTATGTGTTGTTCCTTGATGCAAATTTTATTTTCCTGTAAACGCAGAGAAAAGTGAAATCAGCACCAAGGATGAAATTGAAACACGGCAAGCTAAGAATGTACAAGGGTAGGCTTTTGTACATTATTCTAGCATTTTTTCGAGCATTTTAGTGAGGCAAAAGCATTGAGCATTATTCGAGCATTTTAGTGGCATTTTCCCCGGAAAATTAATTTTTCCGAGAAAATAATGTAGAAATTAACTTTTTTTAGGAGCCCGTGCCCCATGAGCCCCTTCTTTTTTAAACAAAATGAAGACTAAAATTCAAAATTCACAAAAAACCTAATACAGCTGGTTTTTTTTACAGTTTTTTTTTTACACGTTGTCGTTGTTACTTGCAACACTTGCACGTTTTTGTAAGTGTAAACTTTGAAATTAATTTAAAAAAACCGTTTGTATAATGAGCATTATATATATCCGAGCATTTTAGTGACTTTTTTGGGGAGACCGAGCATTTTAGTGGGAAAAATGGAGAATTAAGGTGGAGCATTTTATTAGAGAAGCAAAAGCATAATGTACAAAAGCCTATACAAGGGTAAATGTTGAGATGAACAGAGAGCATGGTGGGAAGGACATTATGACTGTATATATTATCTAGTTTGGGAGCAAGTTCCCCGGGGCGCCGTCTGGTGGCGGGGCGGGAAAAGAAAGGAGAGCTTGCAACTGCGTCTCTGGAATTTGAATGTCTGCATCGAAAAAGTCTATGCGAAATGCTCTTGATTGGCCGAGATGACCTTAGTAATGCGTCATTACCCTTGGCATGTGTTTTTTAATGTTTGTTTACATTCGCGCTCGTTTCCGCTTTGCGCTGATTGGCGAAAATTTGACAGCCCAGTCGAAGAGGAGCCACAAGGGAATTGGAGGTTGAATTCAAATTCCAGAGACGTAGTGTCTAGCTCTCCTTCCTCCTTCCCCCGCCGCCGCCAGAGCGCCCCGGAGAGCTTGCTCACAGGCTAGTATATATCTTAAGATGGAAATATTCTGAAGCTGATCGAACGATCAATTTATTTCTATAGAATTTATTTTTACAAGAGTGCTTCAATGCTTTATCTTTTGAGGTAGGAGTAGGCCCTTTGCATCTCGGGGTTACGGAACATATCTCATGCCAAAATTATGGGATACAATCCTTCAAGAACTCTATTAATTTTTAGGTTTCTTAGACCCTTAACAGTGCGATCTTATGGTGATTTGAATAACGGAAAATATTATTATTATCATTATTATTATTATTATTATTATTATTATTATTATTATTGTTGTTGTTATTATTATAACCGTTACAATTTTGCAGACTTTCTAACGCCCATAAAATCTTAGTCTTACGTGTCAACACTTTAGAATTGGCTTCCTCGCTAACTTACTCGTGCTCTATTGTTTTAGTTGTATCTTGTATATTTATATTTTTTGCTTGAAGCAGGTCATGTGACTGTGAGCTGCATAGGGCCTACATGTGTTCCGACTCTCATCTCTTTAACCCTTTAAGCCCTTAGAGTGATCAGCATCAAATTTCTCCTTGTAATATCAATCCTTGTAAAACAGAGTGAGCATGAGAATTACGCACATGATCACGCAAGAAGAATTTGCTTGATATTTTATTAACCTCTCCTCACTACTTCTGTAGGAAATGAATAGGGGCAACAAATGGGAATGCAAATTTTGATCTTTTTAAAGTTAAAATAGGCTATTCAACATGTTGAACGAAAAAAGATACGCTACGCTCCGTTCAAAAAGCTACAGCTTGCCAATACATCACTCCACGTTTGTTGAGCTACAAATACTAAACGATGTGTAACTGTGTGTCAGAGAACAACATATATCAAACCACCCACGTTACTTGTTGACCATTTTCCTTATTCTTGCGACCTTAATGGTTGATTGAGCTGTGGCCTCGTAAGGAGAAATGTGATGCTGATCACCGTTGGCGCCGTTTAAAGGGTCAAGACTAAGTTAAGCTTATGTAAACACTATTACAACCATGATCATTAGTGTACAGATGCGCGTCGCTGAGTCAATGTAGTTTTAGTCATTTTTAAGAACGTAGCTCTAACTTTTGAGAGTGCACAAAATCATGTTCGGACCATTCACACGCATTTTCTTCAGCTGTTGTTTGCATGGTTGGTATATTTTCCCGTCATTTGCTTATTTATTTATTTTTTACCGCATAAAATATAGGAATTTTGATTTTAGCACTGTTGGGAAGTTAGAGGGCCAAGAAAAAGGTTAAAAGATTTAACTAGGAGGACAGGCAGTTTGTGAATAAATTAGTCTTTCAGCTATGAATTTCAGTCGAGTATGGTCAGACTTAAAAAACACTACTCTTTGCTCCAGCCAGGGCTAGCAAATCACAGAGTCGAGCAATCCAGTCAACCAATCTGACTCAAAGGCAATGGTAAAGTGTGACGTCAGAAAAACATTAAATTTGTGAAATTATGGGATTTTTCGGGGTATTATGAAAGAACATCCAAAAGGACAGGGGCACCCAACGAGAATATAGTTCAAAACCACTTAAACATAGCATTGTTGGACGTTTTTTAGTATTCAAAAAGTAGATATAGGCATATTTTTATTCCCTAAAAATTTTTCATCTGTTCGGATTTCCTAGCTGAAAGTCTTGTGATCCGACAATTATAGGGATCAAAACTTACCTTCTCGAAAATTTCAGCCTGAAAAAAGGCTCCCGAAAATTCTAGGTGACCTTTTTAGGGTAAAAATCTGTTAAAAATAAACACTTATACCATTTTTGGAAGGTTCGAGAATCCAAGGAGAGGCAGGCAAGCAAGAAATTTAACAACAAATGTTCCGAAAATTCTAGATCTTAAATCTCCTTCCGAACAGATATTTTCCAAAAATTGTCGTTGGGTGCCCCTGAAAGGACTACTTGCCAAAAATTAGCATTACAGGGCAAATTAGCCCAGTTATGCTTTGATGTCTCCAATACAAATCCTTCTAAATTCGACTCAGTTCATAACATCAGGAACCGAATCAAATTTAGAAGGATTTGTGTGGAGAAATCAGAGCAAAACGGGACTAGAATCTCCCAAGACAATTTGCCCCACAATGCTAGTGTTTAGCCAGAAGGGCCTTTCAGATGTTGTTCTCTCAAAATGTCCAAACAAATCCCATAATTTCCAAAAATTTTTAGAACACTACGGGGCGAAAATGCTTGTTGTGAATAAGTCCGGACTGTATAGATTAAACCTGTGATTGGTCAGGAAATTGGCGCGATATTTTCCTAGCCGACGATCAACGCACCAGAACTACACCAAGGCAATCACTAAACACGCTGTGGCTAATAGTAGTTTGGTGGTATTGCGGACCTTGCCATCAAATACAAGACACGATAACAAACCTACCCTTTGACCCAATAGGGACCTCACGCAACGACAACGTTGACGTCCCGGAAGTAAAAAAAAAAACACCAACCGGAAGTTGAGATTTTCTCTCTTTCAGTGCTCTAACTAGACAAATTCGTACAACGGAAGTTAAAACAGAAGCATTCAGATTCGTTAGGCTACAACACCTGCATTTTGGGAGCGCTCGCTGGCGCATCAAACCCCGCTTAAACGCTCCAGAAACGCTTGTTTCCCAGGCCAATAGCTAAGGCCTGTTTCAAACGTCGTGCTACAGCCGTGCTAAGCTGGCTTGACTGTAGCTCGACTGTAGCACGACACTAGCCCGACTTGGTTTCAGACATCGAATTTAATTCAGTCGAATAGAACGGCTGTTGCCGAAAACAAAACACAAAAAAATAGAAACGGTTTAGCAAACTTTTAAATGTATTCTAATGAATTTATAATTTATGAATTGAGTTCGGCACGCCGGTAGCGCGACGTTTGAAACCAAGTCGAGCTACTGCTGTGTAGCACGGCAAGGCTTGCAGTGCTACACGGCAGTAGCACGACTTGGTTTCAAACGTCGCGCTACTGCCGTGCTATAAATTTAATTCGAGCAATTGAGTTCGGCACGGCAGTAACACTACGTTTGAAAAGGGCCTAAGCTCCTGCTACATCTCAAGGGAGGTTATTTTCTTCGAAAAGGACCCACGTTTCGGAAGAGGTCAGATAGCGATAGTTCCTTCTCTTCCTCCCCTTAGGAAGATTTGGATCAGTGTAAGATTCTGGAGAAACTGGCCACCTACCTCTTTCAAACCCAACATTTTGTTTTAAGTAGGAAGTCATTGTCCACGTTAGGTTACGGGGAGGGGTGGGTCTTGAATATCCCAAGTCAGGCCAAGCGTTTTGCTAGCTCTACTTTAGGGAAAGACTCTCGGTCACATTTTACTGGTTGTTTTTAATTTTCTGTAAACACACTTTTATTCTTCATAAAGTATGACGAGTAAGTTGTAAAGTAATGAACAGAAATGCAACATAAAAGTTTTTGTAGGGCGAAGGGAGGTAACGCAGCGATGAATGCGGGCTGAAGGACTTCTTTAAAAACTTTTTTGAGCACACATTTTTTCAAGGACATCTTGTTCCCATCCTCGCAAATTTTAATTTACTCTCATGATGCGAGTATTAACTGTGCTATTAAGCAAGAAGTAATTATCCTGTTTCTGACAACATGCACTGCCCAATAATTCAGCTTTTTACATACACTGCTCTGTAATGAAGAATCAGTGGTCCAGAAAAATTTTCCTGAAAACGAAAAAAAAAATGTTGTGAGCGCGAGTAAAAAGGCTCGGAACACTTCTTTCTCTGCCCCTTCTAAGGCGCCTCGTTTTTTTGAGGAGACGCGAGCGCGAAACGCGAGTGACACGCGAGTGACTGGTGACAACGCGCAAAGGAGCAGAAGAAAGAAGACAGGCGAAATCTCGCCCGTTTTCTCCTTCCCGCCCAACCTCGTTCCCAGGGTTCCGTCCTACCCGTATCTACGGAGCGAGAGGGGGACAGGTACGAGAGAACCCTGGGAACGAGGTTGCTTCCCACTTCCTTTCATCCTTTTTTGTCCCCAGAACCTCCTGTTCCCTTAGCCGGCGAGGCCTGAGGATCCCTGAGCACGAGGGCCTGAAAGGCCTGAGGATCTCCTCGTCCTCGTGCTCAGACCTCGCCGACTAAGAGAACAGGAGGCTCTGTGGACGAGAATGATTTTCATCGAGAGAGAGAGAGGACTTGGTACAGGGCAGCTTCTTTCTCCTGCAGGGAGTAGCAGTGCGTGACTTAATAATAGGGACTTCAAGGTCCTGAAAAGACAGCGAAGGCAACGAGAACGTCCAAAAAGCATCAGGTTTAAAGGGACTATGTCAGGCTACTTGCTATCGTTTTAATCAGCTAAAACTTGTCTTCGCATCAATTAAATGCCAAAAATAAAGGCCCAGTTTTGTTATTTATGACTATATTCAGGCACTGAGACTGTTTTCTCTCGTCTGTTGCTACGGATGCGATGACAAGGATGGACATGGTTTGAATTTTCTCCTAACAATATCCATACATCAGTGAACAGATAAGTTACGAGAATTAATAAAATGATCACCCGAGTAAAAATGCCTTGATCTTTTATCAAATTCTCTCAACTCATTCTTTAAGGAAATGTATGGAGACGAGTTTGGAGAATTTGTTCGTGGATACTGGGGCTTAAAGGGTTAATACTAATCACAAAACAATTAATTATTATGGCTGATTCTCCCTGGTGAAATTTGTTTGACATCATAATGCTACAGGAGCATTTTGTGTTTGGGTTAAGGCACAAAGCTATGACTACAGCAAGAAATTGACCTAAATTAAAACAGCAATATTCTCAGACCTAGGATGAAAAAACCTCGGGCACCCTGGGTAATTTCTTTACCGTCACTGCACGTGAAACGATGCCTAACTTCACGTTATATGGAAGACGTAAACAAGCGAAGAGGAAATTTTCCTACTCTTTCTGAACTTGGATATGGTATCATAGAGACTCTTGTTCTTCTTAGGCCATCTTAGTTTGATCAAAAATTAAACACAAACAGCGGTGATAAACATTGCGAGTTTTCGCATTTTTATAAACTTGACGTTTCGTATGCTGTTCAACATATATTCTCAAAAGTGATGTTAAAAATTCAATTCCAGTGGAAAGTAAGTGGGATGGAAACATCGCGATGAAGATTAAAAAAATCGGAATTCAGTTTTTAAGCGGCGTTGTCAACGTCGTCGGATCTTTAAGCCCCTCATGAAGGGCAGCATAGGAGACTAATGGTCAGCAAACATTTAGTTAAAAAAGAAAAATAACCATACCTCTTGGGTGCAGAGATTTTCGCTGATGTATTTTAGCGTTAAATCTTTCCCCATTTCCGTTTTGTCAAACAGGATACCAACCTAACAGAGGATACGTCATTAACGAGTGTGCGAGTTACACTAAATAATATACCTGATTGAAAAAACGTTGTCGCTTAAAGAGTATAAACCATGAGCGATATGGGTATACAGTCGAGTCTCTCTTAACGGACACCTCTATAAGACGGACACCTCTGTAAAACGGACACCTAGATTTGGTCCCTGCCTTTCCTTACTCCCTTTATTTGACTCTTTATAAGACGGACACCTCTCTAAAACGGACACTTAGTGTCGGTCCCAAAGGTGTCCGTCTTGGCGAGAGTTGACTGTACGTTCATAAGAAAAGCGAATTCAAAGTTCTTTCGACAAAACTCTTCATTATCACGAGCTGCTCGTGCAGATGCAAATCTTTTTTCAAGCGACAACGTTTTTTCAATCAGTTGTACAACGAACAATGTGATCAAGGACAACTAATAACCACACTATCCGATCAGAAGACTCGTCTAGCTAATTAAGTTGGCGTGTAAATACTGAACAGAGTAAACTGTGCGTAATCTCTTCAGCCGCGAGCCGCGATAAACGAGGGCGTATGCCCACGAAAGCCGCGATAAACGAGGGTGTACTGATGCCCACGGAAGAGAAGTCGACGGATTCGAAGGCGGACTGCAAGTTGCAATCCATACACAGAGTAAAAATCATGCGTTTTTCATCCTCATAAAGCCAGACACGAATTTATAGTGAGGCGAGGAATAGTAACAAAAGGGAAAAAACTCGACAGCACCCATTTCTTACCCTCTGCTCGTAGAAATTTTCTCTTGCTTCACTATCTATCTTATCTTGGTTTCCAAGAATGTGACTGTTTGTATGTTTTCCACCGTAACCATTTCTGGCGACAGATGTATATGTAGACAGCAAAAAAGCCGTATTTTGCGTTGGCCATGAATGCGAGCACTGGTAAAATGAAACGGTCTAGAGTACGAGTGAAAACGAAGTAATACAAGCGTGTTTCGGCTTCAGGTGGGCGCGTTTCACTTTTGGCGCGAAGCATCTTATATACGAGCAGCGATTTAGGTTTAAAAGAGACAAACTAAACTGCAATCTTTTTACCATGTTCGCAGATTCCAAGTGTAGTTTAGCTGCCAAAAATCTTTGTATTAAGCCAATGGTGACTTGTGTAGAGAGTCTCATATATTTCTTCTGAAGTGGCTGCAATCAATCAATTAATTAATCAATCAGTCAGTCAATCAACCAATTAATCAATCAATCAATCAAACAATCAATCAATCAGTCAATCAACCAATAAATATAAAGTTCACTCCCATATTCCCTACACGCTGCATACCCATTTTTAAAATAACATTCTTTACGTTCTGAACCCCCTCCCTACCCTCTTGAGAGTAGCGAACCATTCAAAAACGACTAACAACAACACAGATACATTTGTGGTGCAAATAAGTGCAGCCAGAGTGCATCAATTGGGCTTTTAGAGCGGTTTTCACTTGACTGTCGTAAAACCAAACCCAAAGTAAATACACTAGCCAACCAAAGGGCGTAGTAAAACCAAAACCAAAACCAAAACCAATCCCTTTCGACAGTCAAGTGAAAACCGCTCTATTTCAACTTTCGTCAATACTGATTTATTCAATATTGCATACAAGTGACTTTATGAGACTCCAATGGCTTCTCATTGACCTATTTCAAAACTAAAAAAGAAACAACGTTAACATTTACCTGTATTTTTGCTGGGCCACCACTTCCATCTCTGCAATTTTAACAAGTAAACAATAACATTATCATCCAGCCACATAGAAATGAAGTTAGTTATAGTTAGTAATAGTAATATCTATTTATTTATTTATTTATACATTACATTACACTTGATTTATATAGCGCTATTTTCGAGCCTACAAGCAAGCAATGCCACGCGAGTGCGCACTGGCTAAGCTGGCTAGATAATTCCAGAAAAAAAGTCCACAAAACAGTGCTAATTACATGGACAATTTACAACTGGCATGTAAGATATACTGTATAATGCAATAATCTAATTGAAACCTAATATTTTATTAAGCCTCTTCTTAAAATATATGTCTGGGTGATGTATTCAGACAGGAGGACTGAAGTTAAACATCTGATTCAGTTAATTTATCAGTAGATGTTTATTACGCATATAATATCTCCTAGTAAGTACATGCACTGTGATTGGTGAATGTTGCTGGCCATATTTCAGTATACTGCCCTAACATGTTCCCTTTCCCACATGCCAATTAACCTCTGAGATAAAACAATTTTTTTACTAGCCTCATACTCTCAGTCCATACTTAACGTTACAGATCCTCATTTTCCCCATTGATTGACGGTTAATGCACTTCACACAGAGGCCATAAATCAATGGCAAAAAAACTTGGTCTGTAACTCACAGTACATACCTTGAACTCGATTTATAGTACATGATACAGTGGAACCCCAGTTTATTGTAAAAACCACCCCTGGGCAAACTTGCTATTACACTGTCTGATAACATTCTATTTGGTCAAAAAAAGAAGTGAACATCTTGCAGAAGCTTTTGGTGTATATTATTTTGTTACATCTTTTCCAGGTATTCATTTATGGAAACAATGTTATCTTCAAGACAGTTTCATGCTCTCTTAAGGCCTAGTTAAATAATCTATACAGGTGTATCACTTCATTTCGCAACTAAGGTAAAAAAGTAAGGTAAAAGGCGCACACGAGTCAAAGGCCCAAACAGCAGGAGCTTATTCAGATTTCCTTAGCATGAAGCTGCCTTGGAGTATAGCTACTTCCCCCTGGACGGAATGCTAGTCCATCACAGGGTACCCCCCCAGCAGTATGCCACTGATACTCATTTATACATCTGGGTGAAGAGAGACAAGGTGGAGTAGAGTTCCTTGTCTAAGGAAACAAGGGGACAGGTGAGGCTTGAATCCCAGATCTCCAGATCCAGAGTTTGAGGTGTTAACCACTCTACCACACAGCCTCCACCTCACAACTATTAAAAGGCAGGGTTTAATTCCAAATTAATTTATCAATTATTTCACTAACCTAAATGTCTCAAGTTGAAGAGAGATTTGTTCATCTGTTCTATGATAGTTTTTTGTTACTTTTGGTTTGCTTATTTTTTTGGGTAATGATGCTGTTTGTTTCTTGATGGCATTTGATGGTCCTGGTACAGATGAAGTCTGACAAGCTACAACAGAAAAAAGACAAACAAACAATAAAAAACAGAACTATCAATAATTAACAAGTATTATTTCTTGACACCACCTTCTGTTTGTTACATAATTCCTTTCTGCGTTATATGCGATGGACACGAGAGCCATAGAAATGGTACAAAAAATGACTACAGATAGTGATGTAAATGTAAAGGAGCAAAAACAACAAATTTAAATTGCACTTTATAGAACATTTTCTTGATCCCACATTATAGCAATTAAATGGAAATGCATGTAGTTGGAGCTGGGCCAGACCCAACAGACAGAAAAAAATATAGATTTTATAATTATTTTAAGCACTGACAATAGTCCACTTTCAAATTAAAAATTACGGCTGAATACAAAAATTAACAACACATTCATACAGGGTTAGCCTTGACGTAAAGTAAAATATTCAGAAATTCTGGCAAGTAAGTGTTTGAAATAATATTATTTGAATATACACAATGGACAGAGTAATAAACAGGTCTTTTTCTTGTTGGACTTTGTGAATATATTACTTCAGATTGAGGCTAAGGCTGTAAAAAATGCATCTTCACTTCTTTAATTCAGCGGTCATAGTGAACTCGAAAATGGACTATTATAGAACTGCAAGCTGGGCAGATAATAATATTATCATTTCTTAAAATCAGCGGAAATACCTCTGGGGGTTGGATATGGTATCTGCCTATCTTTGTAGAACTTGCGTTCTCTGCGCCTTTCCTCTGAAATCAAAGAAACAGGATGCACTAATCAACAAAGTTATATAAGTAGCTGGGTTTACTTAAATTCTGGGTTCAGTCCAAATAACATTGACCAAACTTGGGGTAAAAGTGAAAGGTTCAATTAATTGTATCATCTACATGTAATCAGAAACAGTTACAGAAACTAATAGGATCACTTCATGTGAGATATTTCAGGCAATGTCTTGAATCAGTTTTGAAAATGATTAATATTAACCATGTTACTCTTAATGCTAGCTCACCCCTTTCAATCCTTGGAAGGAGCTTGTAAACAATATCTTGCATAGTTCTGTCAAGTCTGTGAAGAGAATGTGATTCACATCATTTCTAGTATAATATAACCATAACCATAGGAGAAACATATGAATAGAGAATTTAAAGTCCAGAATACCCAGTAAATAGATTTTTTCCAAAACTGAAATGTGAGATTGCGGGATCCCACCTGGTGGGTTCTGCTAAGATCATCAACAGGAAGATGAGGCACACCAGTTTTGATTGTACCTGACAATGCCAAAACCTCTAAAGCTACTGGTAAAGCTCTCAAGACACTTTGCAATCATTGCAAAATCACAAGTGATCAGGAGACAATGATTTTCGTGTCCGGTCATACTAATAACCACAGCAGGTCTCTGAGGTGAGCAGCCTCTGGTTGAAAGAACAATGTAGACTAGTCTCAAGATCATTGTCTCCCTGATCACCTGGGGGAATATTTATCAATATTAATACTGGAGAAGGGTTTCGCTACAGTCGTAAAAAATAAGAATTGCTCCGGACTGAGACTTTGACCTAATCGTCTTTGCACTCATGGTACAGCACAACAAACAACAAATGATATAGGCGATAAAGCCTCGAAAAAACTATCATGCTCTGAAATTTCCATCAGCAACAGAAGACAGCAAAAAAGCAACTGACAAACAACAATGAGCACGTGACTCAAAATAACCCCTTGGGCCCAGCTCTCTGCGGTGTGCGAGAAAACATTTTCCACTTATTTTGTACCTCAGCCAGTGGAAAATACAACTTACTTAAAATTAATATTAATTTTTACCTGATATTGTAAAGTGGTTGTGTCTCATGAATAACAGTGTTGCATGCTGGACATCGATTAACAAGTTCAATATGTCTCACAAGGCAGCTCTTACAAACTAACAAAATAAAATGTAAGACAAAATATTTAAGAATAGATCAAAACATGTTATTGATCTCAATACTGGATTGGACTGTACTGAGGAATATTGGCACAGGATAATTAAGGTATCCATGATAACAATATTCATAATTTTTTGAAAAAATGTTATTCTGCAGAGACTTTGGGGACTTATAAATTTACAGAGACATGTGCTTTTGCAGAAAGCTCGTTATTTCTGAAATGCATTAGCATTTTCGTTTTTCAAAAGAAATTAGCCGTATGATCTACAACCATTAAGCTTTCAGAAATGGTACAGCGTGTAGGGCTAGAAGCACTTTAGAGCAATCTGCATGAAGACGGTTCTGAAGGTAGGATGGTACCTTAATACAATGTATTCACTACAAAGTGCCCCAACCCCTTGATTCAAGAGTTAAATGCCCAACACTGCTCTGATGAATGTTTTAATTATTGCTTTGGACATAATATTATGATAATAATGACATGATTTGGGGCAAAAAAAAAAAGTCTTATCCAGTAGTCTGGGACAAGTAGGATTTCAAGTGCTGCCCTCGACTTTAGCGCCCACTGATAATTCAAAGTTGCAGCCATGAGATGGACTCCAAATGAGAGGAGGAAAAGAGGTGTCAGCCAATTAAATCCACCTGGTGGAGAACAGTGATGATCAGGATTGAGCTGGAGGAGATGGGTGTAACATGGAGCGAAACGCAGGCCAAAGCTCAGGATAGGCTAAAAGTGTCGAGGTTTTATTGTGGCCTTTTGTCCCAGCTGGGATGAGGAGGTTAAGTGAGTGAGTGAGTGCTTTGCCACTTTTGAGAAACTGTGAAGTCCTAGTTTATGTTCACAGAATCTACAGCTACTATCTCTAGCCAATATTCCCTAGTCTATCCGTCATACTACGTCAATAGGAAATTCATGTAAATTCGTAGACTTACAAGTGTGCAGACATTCTGTTATGGTTGCTGCATCAATAAGATATCCATTGCACAATTTGCAGGTTATGTGTTGATTGAGGTTTACCAATGGTAACTTGACACGTTTCTGCAAAAAAGCAATGATTTTCATTAAATAAACAAAAAATTGAGCCAACAGCACCTATCAGCACCATACAGCACCTTGCAATAAATTAATAATTAATTTATTGTAAGGTGGGCTCTGTATGGTGCTGATTAGATGGGTGGTGTTGTTTCACTTATAATTTGAACTTAATATAATTTACTGCAGGGTTTGAGCCAGCACTCGTGACACCTTAGGAGACACTTAGTTTGTCCTTTCAAGCTCTTATTAGTAGACAAATAGTGTTTTTTCACATTTTCTTGTTTTGATATCTGGCTTAAGGTACATATCAGTACGCAGCCAGCAGTCAATTTTGAATCAGGTAATTATGCTAATTTCTATCACATTCCCAAATATAGTCATGTTTATCAGGTGTTCACACAGTGTATTATTAGCTTCAAGTTAAAGTCACCTGATCTTTCACATGATTTGGAGAATAACTCTATTTAACCAGCACAGAGCCTCATCCAAAGATTGCAAAATATGAGAAAGACATTAAGCGAATTTTACCAACGCTTTGCAGAACCAAACAGACTGTGAGGTAGAAGTCTGGAATTCTTCCTCACCTTTGTATGAGCACTTCAACTTTCTTTACAAGAAAAAATAATATTATCAATGAATCACAAGAAAGTCAATGTCTGACTCAGATCTTAGTTTAGTTTGACAGCGTTTTCTGAAGAGATGTCATAAGCGACATTTCATTTCATATCCAGTAGACTTTGTCAAAAGCCAATAAGATCGCTCTCTTTTATTTTCAGAAATCCACTAAGTGGGATAATACCGGAGAGAAAAGAAACAAATTACAAATTACATAAGGTAGGGTGTCTTTTCCCAAAAATAACACACAGCACTTTAAGACAACTTTTGCAAATAGGTTAATTTGTAAGCATAAGGTTTTAAAATGATAGTTGACTTCATTGTAGCTTAATAGGATATGAAATATTTAGTGTGTAGTATCGTGGGACATTTTAACAAGTCACGCTGTATTTTGGCGAGCCTGTAGCTGAGTCAAAATACAAGCGACAAGTAAAAATGTCCCACTATACTACACACTAGACCGTCCAATAAGAGGTTTATTATTCAACTCAAGGAGTATAAAATAGAACTCAGTAAATGTACACGCTTGCCTGGCCTACTTATGATGAGAATGTGTGACAGACTATAAACACGAGTCGAGTTTTCGCACACTTTCATCAACGCTGTTGCTAATTGGTCAGAAATGAAAACTTGCCAAACTAGTTTATGCGATCAATTTTTCACAAGTTTTTGTCAGCACTTTCAAACATTTTCTAGAAAAACAGAGATGGAATGACAAATAATAGCGAGGCTTTAATATGATGGTAATCAGTTATGTAAAATGGACTGGAGGTAGAAAAACTGAGCAGTGCAATGCAAATTGCGATGGAAAGACAAAAACTCTTCTACAAAATTTAAGTATTTTCAAAGAGCTACTCGTAAACAAAGGCTTGAAACGTCATATTCACCAGGTTATAAGCTTACTAACAAAAAGAGAACGCATTATGTCTACCATGTTGAGTTTCCTCACATTTTAGAAATACTAGGGGTGAAGACTGATCAGTTCCTCGGCAGGGATTGTATTTTTTGAGCATCACCATCTGTATCACACAACGTCAGGTCTGTTTTCATCTTCTCTGTTGTATCTTTAGCATAAAGTTTGTGCGCTCTATCTATTTTTAATAAATGTCGACATTTCATTGTCGTTCAGACGACAAAATGGCGGTAGACAATGAAACTAAACTGTAAATGAGAGGGTATAGTGATCATGTTATTTTTCTAGCGAACTAAGCATATTTTATCACTTAAGCTTTAAACTTGGTACACACTCAACATATTTACACGCATACTTTGACAAGAAGGATCACATTTCCGATCGTAATGACCATACATCGTCTTAGAACTAACAGGTCACGTTAACGTAGTGTCACTCTAAATCAACTTAATTCTTATTAACTACATTAGCGCAATTGAATACGAACAAAGGCAGTAAATGGCACAGTATAATATATATTACTCTTAAGTATACATATATGAATAATTTCCCTACCTGCATCGCCTGCATGTCGAACAAACATGGGCGCACCGCTATGAGAGTCAATCATCAACAGGCGTTCACATGTACTTTAACCTCGTTTCTATGCGGAGTCTCGATTGCGCGCCGCCTCGCGCGCCCCGTTCTTTCCTGCGCCCATTCCAAGGGCCAAGCCGAGCGCCAATCTCGCTCCCAGAGGCCGCGATCCTTTCAACGCGGACTCTGGGAACGAGATTGGCCAAGCGCCTGCTACGCAGTTATGGCAGGGAAATACTAAATATCTCTAGGCAGGTCATATATAATATTCAACACCAGTTTTGAAGTGAAACGAAAATATCACTGTTCTATCCCTTCCTTCCCAACTTTGCTCGTGTGTTTGTATCGCTGGATCCAAATTTTGATTTAGGGCTGGGTTGGGTCAGAGATTTACTATGTAGTCGGCATGCCGGAGAAAAGAGGGTCGGGTATTTGGGGTAACAAAGAGTAAGTGTATGTGGGGAAATAAGCGGGGCTGGGAAGGTACACACAGGAAGCCCACTCTGGACGGTTTACTTTTGGTCATAAACAGTTTAGACTTTAGACTATCAGTCATCAATGTCAAGATCAGCTTTGTCCTATTTGTCACGGACGAAAACATAAAAACAATGGGCCTTCCATCTCGTATATTTTCGCGTTTTGTATTCATAAGAGAGATCTCAACTCCGGAACTCTAAGCTTACATTCATACACTGCACCATTTATGAATACGGTCAGTTCCACTGAGAAAGACTGAAAATGTTTCGTCTGTTCTTCTTAATGACTTTGGCCATTTTCTTGGCCGCTTCCTTCGGAACTTCGCAGAACAATTCTTCAAATCAGGTAACTTAAGAGCGAACCAAGTTTTAAAGCATTCAACTTTTCCCAGAATATATTCCCTAGAATCTATATTGGCTAGGGAACTGTTCAGATGCGGTTTTCTTTAGCTTTCTAGACTCATTAGCAACGCTGTTTTTATGCCTATCAGATTCTTTCAGATTCACGATCCGTTTAATATCTTGGCTGCAAACAAGAAACTCAGCTATTACAGACAAAAATTTAATTAATCATCGATTTTACAGGATACAGCATTCAGGACTTTAGATTCGGATAGCTCATGGGCCATCTTCAGTTTTCATGAGATTATTAAAGGAAAGAAAACAAAATAATTGCACTCCATGCAGGAAAACCCGGGGGGGGGGGTTAAAAAGGAGGATAAAATAAAGTGTTTGGTTGGTAAGGGGAAGATATATCGGGAAGTCTGAAAACGGGCGGGTGTTCGAGAATTTCGCGTGAACAACGCGCAATAAGACGCGCGTCTTCGAGCGTCTGTGAACGCATCGGTCCCTTGTTACCAGTCTTCTCTCAATGAGAAACAAACGCCTGTTGAATATTTGCCAATTAGGGATCTCAGGTTCCAGTTATGTTTTACAAGTTGACCCAAATCTACCGTGTTCGACTCCTAAAATAGTCTTTGGGAAGCAGAGCGTCAATTAGAGAAGCTTTTAAGGAGATTTATTTTTAGAACTGGAACTTACTCTTTACAAAAAAAACGTGAGGTCTATAAGGTGAGCTCAGGTGAGTTTTAACTCCTTGACGACTGTTTTGGTCTTTTTGGTCCTAATTTTTGAACTAGGAACATTTTCCTTCGTGGACCCATTGATAGCAAAATCAGCAAGGATAGATCTTTCCGCTGGTACCTCATTTAGGAAATTTTGACCAATCCTGACAGATCTTTAATTTTACATGTACACTAAAAAAAATCAACATTTGGGGGAAAATCCACCACCAATTTTGCTATTTACCTGCTACTCTTTGCCCTTTTCCTGAAAAGGTAGCCAGCCAAAACTCCACACAAAAGAAAGACACTAAGTGGGCAACAAAACAGGTTGTGAAAAAAAAAAGACAAAAGGAAAAAATGAATGCAAGGAAAGAGATTGAAACAGATTCCCAGATTTGTTGTGTTGTTTGTGTAGGCGAATATGAACTGTATTTTATTCCAAGGATTGTCAGGCTCGATTCCTAAAGGTTACAACACTCCGAAGGGTCCAACTTCTAAAGGATCACACAGGATTCCACAGATTCAGTTCACTAAAGGCTCACAGATCGTCAAGATGGCTACAAGAACGCAACACGTTTTCGGATCTCTCCCAGAAGGCCTAGCGCGCTCCTAAACTCTTACGTCATCGCGCACACTCCCCCCCGTGGACCATGAAGAATGGTCCACCTTCTATACCTAGAATCAAATATCGAAAAGAAATAATAACTCAGTGAATATAGTCTCTCTCAAAAAAACTGTTCAATGTTCAGAATACATAAACAAACTTAATGTTCGTCTTGTAATTCAGCAATCCACTGTCTTCTTCTTCGCTCTCCCTCGACTGCAGCTCTACGCCGCTCTCGATTTCATCCCGCGACCTTGCGTCGGCTGTTCTGGTGATTCAAGTACTTGTTCCTGAGGAGCTGCTTCATTCGTAGAACAGCTTACTTCCAGTGGGTACAACAATTGTAGCGGTCTCCTTAAGAGTCCACCTCCACTTGATCCTCTCCCTTGGACTCTGACCTCAGCACCTCTACTCTGCCCATCCTTGCTCATCAGAAGCCGTTCCACCTTGCCCATCTTCCAATAAGATCTTGGGTGGGTTTCGTCATGAACCAATACCAGATCTCCGACACACACTACCCTTGATCCCGCCGTCTTCTTCAATTGGTTATGGGCATTTCGTAATTCAAGAAGGTATTCTGCTCTCCAACGCTTCCAAAAATGAGTCAGAATCATATCAAGGTGTCTTGCTCTTCTGCTCAGGTCGTCTGGCGAAATTCTAAAATCTGCATCTGCAGGACTGTCTATTTCAGGAAGGGCGCCGAGTCTTCGACCAACAATGAGGTGGGACGGTGTGAGGGGTTCTTCCAGGTCCTCAGAAGAGACATATGAAATGGGTCG